CCCCTGCGCGCTTCCTTTCACTTTGTTATTTCGGGCACTGAAAAGTGCTGACAGGCTCCTTCTGCTACCTCAGCACCTCCCGCGTCCCCTGCCCTGCCCTGGCTCCCTCTGTGGTGGGGGCCCGAGGGGGTACCAGGAACGGCAGCCCCCCCCTCCGTCAAGGCCTCTCTCTGGGTTGTTCTCAGGCGCCTCTGGTGCCATTCCCAGCACAGTCCCCTGTCTAAGGGCGGGAATGGAATGGGGGGCTGAGGAGGGAGACAGACGGGCAGGGCCTACAGACGTGGGGCTGGGAGCAAATCCGTGGAACCCGGGCCGTTTCTGGGCGGGAAGGGTGCGGAGTGAGGCGCACCCATCCCCAAGAGAAGGAGACGGAGCGTCGGGGACCTTGGGGAAAGGAGGAAGGTTCTAGCAGAGCCTAAGTTGGGGACCGTGACGGGCCCTGATGAGGGCGGCCTGCCCTCTTCCATGACGGACGGTGGGAGAGACAGGGCCTGTCGGAGGGAGGGACGGAGAGCAGGCCCCCAGAAGCATGTTTGTGCCGGCCAAGCCCTGCGCTGCACAGCGGGGGAAGCCGGGGGCCGCCCGCTGGGCCTCACCGTCTCGGGACATGCCCAGCGCCAGGCATTTCTGCAGGCGGCAGTGCTGGCACCGGTTTCGGCTCGTGCGGTCGATGGGGCAGTTCCGCTGCCGGGTGCAGGAGTAGGCCACGTTGCAGTGCTGGCTTCTGCGGAAGAAGCCCTGGGGCGGGCGGGCGGACACCAGGCTGCTGACCCCAGCTCCGTCCCCGTGCCTCCAGCCCCACCGCCAGCTGCGGCCCCGGCTCCCCCAGATCCCACGACAGGTCACTTTTCTTAGCATAATTGCAGTTTGTCCTGCAATCACTTCCCCAGCTCGGGACAAGGGCCCCCTGTGAACAGGGGCCTCCAGCTAAGGCGCTTCCCCCGCCGCCTCGGAAGCCCATCCCTGGGGTCGAAGGCCGCCGAGCCCCTCTCCTCATCTCTAAGCAAATGCGTACGTGTGTGAGCTCACCTTGCACCCCTCACAGGTGATGACCCCGTAGTGGATCCCAGACGACTTGTCCCCACAGATTTTGCAGGGGATCACTTCGATTTGTGCTGGAAGAGAAAGAGCAGGCGGTCAGCCCGGGAGCCTCCTCCGCGTCCGGCCCCGCGGACACGGGTGCGCAGCTGGCCCGCCCCGCTCCAGCTCCCCGTTCCCCTCAAGCGAAGCCCGAACGCTGCTCAGCAAAGGGTCTGTGGAGGCCGTTTTTTTTTTTTTTTTGCTTTGTGGGGCGGCCGGGAGGTGTACCAGCTATGGGGGCACAGAGCGCAGCTGCACTGAGGCCACCTGCTCAGTCAGCCCTTCAAGTTGAAAAGCTCCGGTTGCCTCCCTCTCGCCCGGGACCTCAGAGTCCTCGCTGCTTCGCGACACCTGCTTCCCGCCCAGGGGGCTTCCTCTGGGCCCCCCTCCCCCATCGCGTCTCGGCTCCCCGGGGCGGAGTAGGGGCATGGTGGGGCCCACGGGGCACCAGGCAGGGCCACCTGGGGGCCAGGCAGAGACGCAAGTTATACTCAGCTGGGCCGTGAAGGGTCAGAGAGATGGGGGCCCAGGCCACGGAGTGGGGCCCAGAGAGGGCAGGGAGAAGACCAGGTGGAGCCCAGGGGACAGGAGCTCAACAAGCCAGCTCTGCTGGGAGCCAGGGAGAGGCTCCGACAGGCCCCAGAGCAGAGGGGAGGCGACGGGGTGTGTGGCTCGGCGTGGCGGAGTAAGTCTGTGCACGCGCAGGCTGCCGCGTCCCCCCCATGCCCACGAATCACAAGCGCTGACACTGACTGGGACTCGAGACACTGTCAGCCAACCTTCCCGTCCCTTTGCGGATGGAGGAAGGGGCCCGATGAGGCAGGTGGCGGGCCTGGGGGTCGCACAGCTAGCCTGTCTCAGAGCTGGGTCTATATCCCAGTTCACCCGAGCTTTCCGTTACGCTGTTCTGTGTGCGTGGCTTTGGGGGTGCACATGTCAGTGGGCACGTGTGTGCACGCGCATGTGTGTAAACACACGAAAGGGACATGTGACCTGCGACTGTTCGAGCCAGCGGGCACACGCGTGTGTGTGTGTGTGTGTGTGTGTGTGAGCATGTGTAAAAGGGACATGCGACCTGCGACTGTTCGAGCCAGCGTGCACACGCGTGTGTGTGTGTGTGTGTGTGAGCATGTGTTCACGGGTGCCCTCCCGTCCCTCAAGGCCATCGTGCGCTGTGCCTGTCGCCCCCACGGTGGTTGGCTGCCGGCCCCAGGCTCATCTCCTCTACTTGGCCCTGACCCTGCCAGTGCCCACAGCGCTGCTGAGTTTTAGGGACCAGAGCCGGCCTTCCCCCAGCCCGTCCGAGCAGGGGAGCTGAGCAGAGTTAGGGTCTCTGCCGCTTCAGGGGCTTTCGTCACTGCCAAGGGTACGTGGGTCTCTTCTCTGCCACCGCTGACCTGCCGCCGCCCCTCTGAGGGGGGAGGCCTGAGGCGGCACGGGCCAGAAAACTGGTCTAGGACTGAGTTTTCTAGAACCTCTTCTCTCCGACACGGATCTTCCCCACAAGCTCGCTTGGGCCCAGGCCTGGACCCGGGTCCCACGTAGGGCCTGCCGATGTGAGCTGGGGGGTGACTGTGGCTTGCTCACTGCTCCCTGAACTACTGTTTATATCGCTCTCGATCCATCGTCCCCTCAGGCCAGCCTTGAGCTGAGTAGGAGTAAGCGGCTGCCTCCTCAAGGGGGACAGGGCGCCTGGGTGTCTTCCACCCTCCATTAGAACACGACCCCCCGCACCCCAGCCCCATCTGCCTGCCCAACACCCGCACGGCGAGCCGTGACCCTCCAGGACAGATGGAAAGGGAGCCTTCCAGATTCTTTCTCCTACGTGCAAGAGCAGATTGGGATGATGGAGGGGGGATAGGGGGCCTGGAAGAGGGGCAGCCAGTGTGGGGGGTATGGGGGGCCTGGAAGAGGGGCAGCCAGTGTGGGGGGATGGGGGGCCTGGAAGAGGGGCAGCCAGTGTGGGGGCACCTGCACTTCAGGGCACTTAGATTCCCGAGTCCTCGGTCCCCTTGTCCGTCGAGTCAGGATAGAAAGCACGTGGCCTGTCCACGGGATGGCTGTGGGTAGGAC